TGTGTCTCCCTCTCTCTGACCCTCCCCCGTTCATGCTCTGTCTCTCTCTGTCTCAAAAATAAATAAATGTTAAAAAAAATTTTTTTTAAAAATAAAATAAAATGGTCCAGGGGCACCTGGGTGGTTCCATCGGTTAAGCATCTCTTGATTTCGCTTCAGGTCATGATCTGGAGGCTGTGGGACTGAGTCCCGTGTTGGGCTCTGTGCGGACTGGGGACCCTGCTTGGGGTTCTCTCTCTCCCTCTCCGTCTCTGCCCCTCCCCCACCTCAAAAATAAATAACTTTACAAAAGAATAAAACCAAAAGGTCAAGATGGCCAAAATGGTAGTTTTTGTGTTCTGTCTTCCGTACCCAAACGAGAGCCTTCTATAAACCTAGTCAAGACAGACAGAATGGGAACAGGAGACGGATAATGCCGCCCAGTGGAAGCCAGACGAGAAAGCAGGCACAGCCCCCTGGGTTTTCTCTCTTCTTGCCCGTGGTGCACAGCTGTCGTGGTTGGAGCCCTTGAGAATCGCTTCCCCCTACCTCGGCCTGGCCGCACGGCACCATACGCTCAGGCACGGGGGTTACCACTCCGTTCCCAGTGCCTCTGTCTCACTGAAATGTTGGCAACTTGTGCTGCACCTGACTGTCTTATTTCAGTTTTATGCTACAGCGGCAGATTTGAGTTTTGTGGTACAAACCAGCACAGCAAATCCTGCACCCTGCTCAGACTTTTTTTATTAAAAAAATTTTTTTTTTCTAATTTTAGAGAGAGAGTGGGAGAGGGCAGGAGAGAGAGACAGAGAATCTTTTTCTTTTTTAATGTTTATTTTTGAGAGAGAGAGCACAGGGAAGGGGCAGAGAGACGGAGATAGAGCACACGAAGGAGGCTCTGCACTGAGAGCAGAGAGCCCGACGTGGGGCTCGAACTTACAAACCGTGAGACCGTGACCTGAGCCAGAGTCGGACGCTTACGTGCCCAAGCCACCCAGGCGCCCAGAGAGAATCTTAAGCAGGCTCCGCGGTCGGTGCGGAGCCCAATGCAGGGCTCAATCCGGAGACACTGGGATCGCGACTTGAGCCAAAATCAGGAGTTGGATGCTCAACTGACTGAGCCACCCAGGCGCCCCTCATCCTTCTCAGATTTAACATCCACAGAAGGTGACCGGATCTCTCACACTTACTCACTGCAGAGAACCCAAAGCTGCCAACCCAGCGTGATACGTGGGAGGCTTCCTGAGGGTGATGTGTGATTGTCACAGGCAAACTGATGTCCTGTCCCTCAGCGTGAGAACAAAAGCTTCTTCCCGCATCCCCAGCACTCAACCCAAGGGTGTTTTGTGTCAGGCGTAGGTTCCAAGGCCCCCAGGGGATGCCTGAACCAACAATCCTATATATATTATGTTTCTTCTCTCTCTACAAACCTATCATAAAGTTACATACGAAGCACAGTGAGATATGAACCAGCGGAAGTAATAACAAAGCATAACTGTGGTAACCATATACTGTCCTATAAGGTATGTGAATGTGATCTCTCAGGCTGTCTCTCAGAATTTCCACTTGTGCTGTCCTCACCCCTCTTCTGAATGCGACGATGCAGATGATCAAGCACTACTTTCTGAGACGAAGCAAGGGGAATGAGGTAGGCTTGCGATGTAGCGCGCTAGGCTGCCATTGACCTTCTGGTTGTCCTAAGGAAAAAGCATCCAGACCGCAGCTGACCTCAGGGGAACTGCAACCACACAAAGTGAAACTGTGGACTAAGGGGACCCGCCGTCCTGTCAGGCAGTTTTGCAAAGTGACCGTGCTCGTTGACATTCTCACCAGCAGGGTCTGAAGAGGTCGGGGTCCCCTGCGTTCTGTCCAACACTGGATAAAACCAGGCCTTTCAACTTTAGCCCCCCCTGGTGTGTGCAGATGTATGTTTTTTTCATGAATCTTAGTAAGAACCGTGACTTAGGTCTCAGGACTTGACTTTATTTTTTCAAATGTTTATTTTGAGAGACAGAGAGCAAGTGCACCCAGGGGAGGGGCAGAGAGAGAGAGAGAGAGAGAGAGAGAGAGAGAGGATCCCAGGCAGTCTCCACACTGTCAACTCAGAGCCCGATGTGGGGTTTGAACCCAGGAACTGCGAGATCATGACCTGAGCCAAATCATGAGTCAACGCTTAAGTGACTGAGCCACCCAGTGCCCCTAAAGATATTTTCATTTTTTAATTTTTTTTTTCCAACGTTTATTTATTTTTGGGACAGAGAGAGACAGAGCATGAACGGGCGAGGGGCAGAGAGAGAGGGAGACACAGAATCAGAAACAGGCTCCAGGCTCCGAGCCATCAGCCCAGAGCCCGACACGGGGCTCGAACTCACGGACCGTGAGATCGTGACCTGGTTGAAGTCGGACGCTTAACCGACTGCGCCACCCAGGCGCCCCAAGATATTTTCATTTTTAAGTATTCTCTACACTCAATGTGGGGCTCAGACTCACAACCCCGAGATCAAGAGTCCCATGCTCTACTGACTCAGTCAGCCACGGATCCCTGCTCCAATATAAATTTTATAATGAAAATATCAAGTTCTTCAAAAATCACTCCGGGGGATTGGTTGATATATGGCTCTGATTCTGCATATGAATTTAGGTAGACTTGACTTTTATACAGTATTATTTTAAACCCATTAACGTGACATATTTTTCGATTTACTTACACATTTAAAAATATTTTTTAAAGATATCATTTTTATTTTATTTTAATTTTTTGAGAGAGACAGGGCACAAAAGCAAGGGGAAGAGACAGAGGAGAGGAGAAGAGAGAGAGAATCCCACCAGGGACAGAGAGAGAGTGGGTGGAGAGAGAGAGAGAGAGAGAGAGAAAGAAGTGGGGCTCATGCTCACCTGATGTGGGACTTGAACTCACAAACCGTGAGATCGTGACCTGAGACAAAATCAGATGCTTAATGACTAAGCCACCAAGGCACCCTTAAAAAATTTTTTTTTAACGTTTATTTCTTTCTGAGAGACAGAGCATGAGCAGGGGAGGAGCAGAGAAAGAGAGAGGGAGACACAGAATCCAAAGCAGGCTCCAGACTCTGGGCTGTCAGCTCAGAGCCCAACGGAGGGGTCCGAACTCCCAAACTGGGAGATCAGGACCTGGGCCGAAGTCGGACGCTGCACCGACCGAGCCACCCAGGAGCCCCCGGATCTTCGCTATTGTAAATGCTGCTGCAGTGAATACACAGGTGCACATATGTTTCTGAGTGAGTACTTTCATTTCCTTCAGACATAGACCAGAAGTCCATTGCTGAATCATGTGGTAGTTCTGGTTTTAATTTCTTGAGGAACCTCTGGACTGTGTTTCAGAGTGGCTGCACCAATTCACATTCCTTCCCACCAACAGTGCACAACAGTTCTCTCTCTTCCACATCCTTGTCAACACTTGTTGTTTCTTGTCTTTTTTGGTCATCGCAGCTTGAGATTTGTCAGACCGACAGCTGTCGGCACAGAGCCTGATGCGGGGCTCGAACTGCTGGACTGTGAGATCGAGACCTGAGCCGAAGTCAGGGGGAGGGGTGCGTTGGGGAGGGGAAGAGAGAGAAGGGGGCAGAGGATCCCAAGTAGGCTCCATGCTGTCAGCAGATTTACCATGCAGGTCTCAAACCCATGAACCATGAGATCATGACCTGAGCTGAAGCCAGAGGCTCAACCCGCTGAGCCATCCAGGGGCCCCCACGTATGAATTTTTTTTTAAAATGCACCATGTCAAACTGCAAAAGCAAAAATGCTCCAAATCCAAAAATAAGATATCTCACAAGCATTAGAGACTCCTTTCATCAGTCGTTTGCGATACCTCTCTGGCATATATATATATGTGTGTGTGTGTGTGTGTGTGTGTGTGTGTGTATTAGGTTTCTAAGTATTGATTTTTGTAACCTCTACACCCAACGTGGGGCTCAGAATCATGACCCTGAGATCAAGAGTGGCACGCTCTTCCTACTGAGCCAGCCAGGAGCCCCAAGAACTTGACTTTCAATCCTACAGCCTGCTACGGGAATGTCTAAAGTGTTTATGATCATGGTGCAATTTGAGGAACGCTTTATCAAGGTTGAGCCTCCCCCAGTGCCTTCAGAAAGGGTCCCTGAAAGGTAGAGCCTCATTACCTTCATGGCAGCAGGGTAATGCTGCTTCTCTGCTAAAGTCACAGATTTGGGGCGTCCCTGCCCAGTGGGGTCCCGGTTTCCCTTGATCCGCCATTTTGCGCGGCCTGGGCCATCACTGTCCCACAAGACCCTCAGATCCGCAAAGACAATCATTTGAGGATGCCGTGTTCCCAAAACCCGTCAGGGCAGAAGGGCTTTGACCCTGAGCCTTCCCCTGCTTCCCCCCCTCCCCTGGATTTGGGTCCAGAAATGCCTTCCTTCCTGGCCTGCACTTGAATGGTTTTAAGGAAATGGTAAATGATCCTTTTCCAGAAAGAGCAGTGGTTTTCAGCTGGAGGGTGAGTCACACTGAATCTCTAGGACTTTCCCCTCTCTTTAGAAAGGATTGATTACAAGACAGCAATCTTTTTTTTTTTTTTTTTTTTTTTTTAAGAGACTAAACACGATCAGAGGGGAGGGGCAGAGGGAGAGAGAGAGAGAGAGAGAGAAAATATCAAGCAGGCTCCAGGCTCAACGTGACGGGACTCCATCCCACCACCCTGGAATCATGACCTGAGCCCAAATCAAGGGCCGGGCATTTAACCGACTGAGCCACCCAGGTGCCCCAAGACAGCAAAGTTTTATTGAAACTTCTTTTTTTTTTTTTTTAGTCTAAAACAATGGGAGGAGAAACTAATCTCTTCATATGTTCCTAGGAACATAAGTCTAATATCACTATTCCAAACCAGTATTATTTACAAAAATGACTCTTTACTTCCTTGCCAGGTTCACAAGGACTAGTTTTTTTTTTTTGGGGGGGGGGGTGGGAAGTAAGCGAGAAATACAGAGAGAGACAGAGAGAGAGAGAGAGACAGAGATTGGGAATTGGGGCTTATACTCACGAACCATGAGATCATGACCTCAGCCAAAGTTGGACGCTTAATCGACTAAGCCACCCAGGTGCCCCACGAGGACAACATTTTAAGCCCACCTCAGCATAGCTTTGCGAATCTCCCTGCCATCAAATGCCCAACAATCCTTACGGTGGAAAGGTCGGCCTTTTCACGGCCATGGCAATGTTCACCGTGCACCGGGACCACAGAACCCCAGGCAGCAGCAACAAGATGAAACCCCTCCACACCATTCCTGTTTGCCTTCCAAAAGCATGCTGTGTCTAAATCTCCCTTGTCTATCCAGACTGAGGCAGATGAACCCCGGAGGGTTTGTTTCCTTTTTTGTTTTGAGGTCTGTGCTCAAATGTCGCCTTATCGCCATGGGTTCCTCGGAAGGATCTCTCTCAGAAGATGCCCTCCCCTCTCCCCCGGGGCTCACCACTTCCTCATCTGATTTTCTATCAGAGTTTAGCAAAATTTTCCTTAAAGGGCCAGGGCCAGTATTTGCAGCCATAGTGTCTCCGCATACGGTTTTTCAACTCTTACTGTAGCACAGAAGCAGCCGTAGGCCACGACCGGATGGGTAAGTCAGACTCGTACACAAAGTGGTTGGCCGGATTTGGCCACATGCCCACATTCCGGACCCCTGTTCTAGACGAAGGCGACTACGGATCATCTCGGGTCCTGTCCTTTCCCGTTACGGAGTTGCAAGCTTCGTGAGAGAAGCCACACGCTTTTGTTCCCTGGATCTTCAATGCCAAGAGCGACTGGCATCGACCCCAATGTTCACGGGATGACAGAAATCCGTACTTGCAATACCTTCTGGTCCTACCGCGTCTGTTTTCCTCCACCAGTGGAGGAGGTGCTCCTTCTGCTCCGTCTGTCCCCTCAGGATGCTTCCCTTGTATTTACTCCAACTAGACTCCACCCTCCTCTAGAGCAGAGGTGGGTCTCTTCCATTCTGGAAGCCCCGGGCGCATCAGAACACTTAACCGAACACACTCTATAGATCTGCACGGAAAGAAGAAATCGGTCACCACAAGAAGATGGGGGTAAGAATCGAGAAGGCTAAGCGGTGATGGGAGAGGAGCTTCTAGGGAAAAAGAGGATCGTGGGAGTGAGTGCTGGCCATTTTCTCTGAGTATAGAAATCAGGGACGATGTTCTGCGGTACGATTTGTCAGCCAAACGCTACCCACAGGGCTTTGTTCTACGGCTGGTGCCCATACGTTAAGATGGAACATTGTGTGGTCCCCCAAGAGAAATTTAGTGTTAACTAAATTCACCACTTCAGAAAGTGAAGTGTGCATATGGGTGAGCTGCTATGGACACCAGCAGATAATATAGAAAACTTCAGGGGCGCCTGGGTGGCTCAGTCGGTTGAGCATCCGACTTCGGCTCAGGTCATGATCTTGTGGTCCGTGAGTTCGAGCCCCACATCGGGCTCTGTGCTGACAGCTCGGAGCCTGGAGCCTGCTTCGGATTCTGGGTCTCCCTCTCTCTCTGCCCTTCCCCTGTTCACGCTCTGTCTCTGTCTCAAGAATAAGTGAACATTAAAAACAAAAATTAAAAAAAAAGAAAACTTCAGGGGTGCCTGAGCTACTCAGTTGGTTAAGCGACCAACTCTTGATCTCGGCTCAGCCCATGACCTCAAGGTTCGTGAGATCAAGCCCCGTGTCCAGCTCTCAGCTCAGGGAAGCCTACTTGGGATTCTCTCTCTCTCTCTGCCCCTCCCCTGCTCGTGTGCCCACTCGTGCTCTCTCAAAATAAAGAAATAAACGTTTCTTAAAAGAGAAAAGAAACTGCCTTCCAGTTAAACACATCGCTAAAAATCTTTCAAAGCAGATAAAGAAATTCAAATGAAAAGGTTCCATAATGAAAAGTGCTGGCTTATTATTATATAGTTTCTGCCAGACTCCGAGATCCTGGGTGCCAGAGAGTAATTCTATCCCAGTTGTTGGTAAAAAGATGAATCTCGTTTACACTAAAAGGGCGGTATTACAAGACCCTGGTGTCACCTGTCAAAACAAGAATGTCTAGAACGGAAATTTCAGTAAGCCCTTGGGATGAAGGGCACTCAGAATACAAGAGCAAGCAAAATGCACGTAAATTAACTCCTAATTTGAGAAATCAATAGAGTGTGTGTGTAAATTGATACACACGGTCTGGTGGGTAGCTGGTTTCTAACTCAATTATGACGATGCGGCCTCTGCTCTGTTCCCCGGATCAGTCTGTTCCAGAAGGACCCCCTACAGCTAAGCAGAGGGTAGCTCCGAGGCAATCGCTTCATGTATAAATCTGTCAGATACTAAGTACCAAGGGAACAGTGATAACCAACAGGACAAGCACCAGAATACAGACGTTCTTGCGAGATTTTCTTTTCCGATCGTAAGCAGCCTGCGGAAACTGACCGGCGTGGCTCTGTCTGCACGCACCTCTGGGCCTTCTCCGTCGGCTTCCGTGCTGTCAGCGGGGTCTCCTTGGTCACGGATCATCACGGGCAAATCTTTAAACCTCTGACGGACGTCCAAAGTGTGAGCCTGCGGCTGCCGAATTGCCCTTTCCCTCTCTTTAATCAGTTCCAGTTCCTGCTCCGAGGTGGCCACGTCATCCCCCTGGTTCTGCATCTGGTCCCACTCGTTGTGGCCATCAAAGGACAGGCGCTGCTCTTTCGTGGCCTCCCCTCTGCAGGGAGACATGCGGCTCTCGCTCTGGCAATCTTCTCCTTTTCCTTTGCAGACCCTCCTCTCCACCCAGCCTGGAAATCCTTTAAGGCTGCAGAGAAGTCATTCAGTTGGCGTCCTTTGTTCTTTCGGAGCAAGGTGCTTTGTGGACTGTTACAACTGTTGCAAATTTTCCTCCTGTTGCTTGAGTCCTGCTGACTCCCTGGTAGGCTCAGCAAATTCTTTGAGCAGTGGCTGGGCGTCCCCGCCCACCCGTGACTGCTGAAGTCCTGGGGCTGGGCCTCGGAGGGCCCCAGGTTTGGTAAAAGGGACTGTAGGGCATGAGGAGGACCTAAGACCCACTGGTCTTGCACGAAACTCCTCGAAGCAGCCCCCGCCTGGTTGCACAGGCTGATGGGGATCTGGGAAGAGAAAGGGCTGGGGGAAGGGGCTGAGGCTGCCCACAGGCTCCCTGTTTCTCTTTCCCAGCTGCTCTTGCCCTTCGCTCACCTCACTCTTGACTTAAATGGCATTGGCCGGGTGACCACCCTCAGATTCACATCTGGATGAGCACCCCAGCCTCCGGGGCCCTCGGTAGTTTCACGGGCTGTGTCAGATGCAGAGATGAGACAAGATAATTTCTTAGTTCCCAACTCACCGCACCCCCCTACCCCCCCACGGCCTGTGCTGCCCAAGTTCCCCTTCCGTGGTGACCACAGCTCTGTCACACACGGCTTCCTGTTGGGGCTTCCTTGGCCTCACCCCACATTTGGGGCATTTCCCTCCCTGACAGAAGGACCTGGATCCGGGCTCCTGCCCTGGCCGATGCAGACATGGTGCCCCTGCTGCTGCTGCCCCTGCTGTTGGGGGGTGAGTGGGCCTCGGGAGGAGGGCTGGGCACAGGTGGGAGGGGCTGGAGCCCCGGCTGAGCCTCCTGTCCCCCCAGGGGAGGATCCAGAGTACCAGCTCCAAGTGAAGGAATCCGTGACCGTGCAGGAGGGTCTGTGTGTCCATGTGCCCTGTTCCTTCTCCTACCCCTGGAAGCCGGGGTATTCCCGGACGATGCTCTACATATACTGGTTCCGGGATAGGGACACCTCAAGCAACCGTTATCTGGTGGCTACAAACAACCCACAGAGAGCAGTGAGGACAGAGGCCCGGGGCCGATTCCGCCTCGTCGGGGACCCCTGGGCCAAGAACTGCTCCCTGAGAATCAGAGACGCCATGAGGAGTGACGAGGGAGTCTACTTTTTCCGAGTGGAGAAAGGAGAAGGCGTGAAATATACTTACACACATACGACGATGACTCTGCGGGTGGCAGGTACAGCAGGGGCCCCGGGGGAGGGCTCTGGGATGTGGACGCCCCCTCTTAGAGCAGGCACAGGACGCCGGAACATTCCCTGCTCCGGGTCTTGGGGCTGGGACGGTTGGAAGAGATAACGGGGCCCGGGGTCAGCTTGGGCCCTGAGGCCCGGACCCTCTCAGGGTCACCCCGTGGGTCCCCACCTCCCTGGGGCCCGGGCACCTCCCTGTCTCCTCCTCAGCCCTGACACAGGAACCCGACATCCACTTCCCGGAGCCCCTCAAGTCTGGCTGGCCCGCAGAGCTGACCTGCAGCCTGCCGGGGTCCTGCGAAGGGGGAAGACCTCTCACATTCTCCTGGGTGGGGGCTGCTCTGGACTCGCTGGACCCCGAGACCCTGCACTCCTCAGTGCTGGCCTTCACCCCGAGGCTGCAGGACCATGGCACCAACCTCACCTGTCAGGTGAAACTGTCAGAAGTTCAGGCCACCGTGGAAAGAACCATCTGGCTCAGTGTCTCCTGTGAGTGCGGGGCGGGGGGGGGGGGTCCCCCAGGGCAGTGGGGTTTGAGCTGGTGTGGGAGTAGAGGGAAGGGAGACGGCAAGGACGGCCATCCCCACCTTCTCGGTGCTCCCCACCCCTTCTCAGTGCTCCCCTATGCCTTTCCAGTGCTCCCTACCCCTTCCCAGTCCTCCCTACCCCTTCCCAGTGCTCCCCACCC